ATCACGCGATACCGTGCGTGAAGTTCGTGCGGTTTCATCGTTCAACCGCTTTTTTTCTATTTCCGCAGACCGCATGGCATTAGTCTCGGCGCAGTCTGAAAAGTAAAATGTACAGGGTGTGTCGCAACATAATACGCGGAAGCCGGTAATACAGCTGTGCCCGATACACTTCGATTTCCGATATATTTTCAGTGGGGTTTTTCTTAATGGGAACTCTAGCGGAAGTCGCATTTGCGCACTCGTGCGTGTTGCGGAAATAAAAAATCTCACCACTAAACGTCTATCGCGAAAATTCGAAATCTTCGACGAGACGACGAGGGGAAGAAGATTCGTCGGGGTCGAGATCTCTCCTCGTCGGTTCGCCGTAGGCAACGACGAATGCGATCCGGTTACACATAAAATATATTTATATTTGATTTTTTACTCGATCCCGTTATATTTGCCGTTGAAATTTTTTTTTGCAATGCTGGCGACGAGTTAAATGAACACGGCACGATCACGAGATTCACGCGCCTGCCTCTCGCTGAAAATGTCGTATTTACAGAAGCGCCGCTACCAAATGTAGTTATTTCCTCGGGGCAGGGAAAAGCCAGTCCTCTCTCGTAATTTTTCTTGCCGATCAATGCGAAGCGCCGACACTCTGGCGATCCCGCGAAATTTAATGCGACACGACGGCGCAGCGTTAAGGCGTATTAATTGTCCCCCGAACGTATCCGTGAATGAATGAAAAACGCGCATTAGCTGCTTTCTACCCGGCGAAATATATCGGGAAAGAATAGGGGAGTATCTCCCCGTTCTTCTCAAGTCAAGGCAGGAATGGCGGTGTGGTATCGGGAAGATTAATTACATACTCGGTGGACGCCCTTAGAATCCGACTTGCTGCTCACTTCGCATTGAGTTTCTTGCACATCGCGTATCGAAAAGTTCACGGGGGATGAATAAAACAAGAGGAATTTCCGAAATAAAAAAAAAACCCATATCGCCTCGTACAGGCGAGCTGCGAAAGCCGTGCCCCCATCGTACAATACCGGAATTATTAAGTTGAGCAACGTCCGACGATCGCGATCGCGAACAGCCGAACACACGACAGACGTCTGCTCTCGCGCAATTGTTCACATCATTGTATTCCGTCCACTTTCATTCCGACGGCATCTCTTGCCGTCCTCCTTTACTCCTTCGCCTCCTCGTCTTTGCGGCAACTCCAAAGTTACAGAAACTTTCTATCGCCGCGGAAATTCCCCGAGATCCGCCGCGGCCCTCTCCAAGATCCGGATTTTAATATCGCCTTTGTATCGTTCTCTCCGTGTGCGCACTATCTACTATTTATATAACGACACATCGTATGACAAAACGCGTAGCGACGAACTCGCGAAGCATCCGGCAGTTTCGCCGGCCGGCGCGGCAGTGTGTAAAAGCGCCATTGCAAAAGTGCTCCGATTAATTTGCCTCGAAAAATGTGGAGGGCCCTCGCGCGAGAGATAAAACCGAGATGGAAACATTTAATAAATGCAGATCTCTCGATTTTACGACTTAATATACAACCCATCTCGTTCTCTCATTGCAGACGCTCAGTCGAACGACGCTGTTTAAGCCGCCGATATTGCTGAATCTATCGTAGCCTTATCGGCCTTCATTAGGCGAATCGCACGGGAGAGAAAGAGATAGATAGATGGATAGATAGACGGAGGTAGATAGATAGAGAGGAGAAGAGGAGGAAAGAAAAAGATATAGAAAGAAGATAGAAAGGGGGGGGGGAGAGAGAGAGAGAGAGAAGAGAGGGAGAAGAGGGAGAGACGGTGCAATTCCACTAGAAATTCAGAGTCACCACAGTCGAATGCTTCGCAGCTCGCCATAATCCGATTTCGCTTCTCTCTTCTTTCCTCGACCCGCTCTCGCGCGCCCGCGTCTCTCCGTTTGCCTTTCAACTGATAACTAGTAATTAAACAGCTCCAACAACGGGATAGGGCATTTACTCGCGCAATTCCCCTTGCCGCCTTCTTCAGCACCTCTCTCTCCTCGTCCCTCCCTCCCTCCCTCCTTTCCTTTCTCTCGCTCCCTCTCTTTCTCCCTCTCTCCGCTCTCCGCTACTCGCATTCTCTCTTCGCTCCGCCGCGTCGCTTCTACATCCCGCAACTCCACTTTCTGAGCTATTGTCCATCGCGAGTCCGAGGGCTGCCGGGGGGCCCGCGGATGCCCACGGGAAATTATTAGTTGTGAATCTATTCATCTTACGAGAAAACCGCTACGGGATATCCTGATACGATTCTCAATACGTCCCGTAATAAAGCTGGACGCGGCTCGAAATCCCGCGACCCTGCGAGGCATCGGCTCGCATACAATCTGTGTAATATCTGCGGCGTTTTCCGCTCCGCGCCACGTACGACTCGCTCCGGAAACGCCCCCTCCGTGCCCCACGCGCCGCAAAAGGCGTAGAAAATAGATATCGGATGATTAAGCGGGTGGTATGAAGCGGGATGACGGCTCGATAGAGATTAGCCGGAGCCACGCTCGATGGGAGATAAAACGAAGATACGAAATAAAAACGGGCTGAAGCGCCGTAATAACGATCTCGCGATAAGTGATATTTCCATTCGCGAGCTACGCGCGCCGAGATTCGCCCGAGTTTTAATTATCGAGCCTGCGGGGCTTCGAACACTTCGGGACTCGCCGTGAAGGAGAGGCGAGACGCGCGCGCGCGACTCTGACTTTTCCACGGGAGTGCGGGCAGATTTTATGTTTTCATTTTTCATTTTTTTCTTCTACTTTTTAACGAGCATCGATCGCGGGAAAATTACGCGAGTGGAGAGAAGCGGGACACAAAAAAGCGATCTTTGTTCCTGGTCCTTCTAGGCAGATGCACTTTACGCGGTAATGTGATTCGCACTCGTGGCACAATAGTAAATGGTACCGCACCGCGGGACCGCAGAACCCCTAATTAGAGCGGACGAGATCGATTTCCTGCGGAGGCCGCAGTTAGAAAAGCGGCTAAACGAACCCGAGCGAGAGAAGGCGTCAACAAAAAGCATATTCGATGCGCTGATTGAAAGGGAAGCGAGAGCCGCGCCGCGCCGCGCCGCGCCTCGTTGCGAGAGTTCCGATATCTCCAATGCGCGCCAATATATTTTCGCGCGTTTATGGAGAAAAGTGCGCGCGCGCGCCGGAGTATTATGCCGGAGGCCGTAGCACTCGCGGCTCTATGCACCATGATTTCGCCATTACGCCCGTCGTACGTGCAGCCGCGCTCCGGCAATAATATCACACACCTTTGGACGTTCCGTTACGCAATATGGAGCCCACCGCCATTATCGGATTTTTTTCTTCTGTAACGCAAAATGTACTCGAAAGTGTACTAGTTCGCCACGCTGAAAAAGAAGCTACGAGGGGTGTTATTTTGAATAAGTGTTGCTACGTGTGCACCTCCGTGGAAGAGAAAAAGAGCGAAGAATAGAAACAGAGAGAGAGAGAGAGAGAGAGAGAGAGGGCGGGGGAGGGGAGAGAGAGAAATGGAGGGGAAAGAAAAAAACGAGGGCAAAGTGCGTCGCTCGTTAATCACCAAATTATCGGAATAATCACGAGAACGTGCGCGCCAGGAGTGAAGGGCTCTCCCGGGCGACATTTGTTTGCGCGCGCGCACACACGCACGAGAGGAGATAAAACTGAAAAATCGTTAACACAAGCGGAAAAGCGTCGCGAAAGAGCGGATACTAAATCGCTCGATGTTATCGAAGCGCGCGATATCGTGCGCTCTAATCAGTACGACTCGGCGGCTCGGTGGAAATACGATTATTCCGGTGATCCCTAACGTGAACGCGGAAGGACGCTGCGGCACTTGCAGTCCGGAGATCTCATATCGATAACAAACAGCAGGAACTCTCGCATGAGGTGTCTAATTAGAGCCGATAAGCTTGATTTCCGCGACACGCACCGCGCGCGTTCTACGTGCAAGCGTGTGTGCGTGATTCCGTTCGCACAGGTTCCGCGGAACCGCTGGGCGTGCGTTGTACGCGGCATTATGCGCGGAAATTTGCGCGCTCGTGCCTTTTTTCCTCGCTATTTTTCTTCGACCGACCGACCGACCGACCGACCGACCGACTGACCGACCGGCCGATCGATCGAATCGAACGCCGTAGTTTTTGCAAGAGTCACCCTTTACTCGCCATCGGAATACCACGATGAGACCCCAATCGAACGCGATTACGTGATACGAAAGCGCAGGTACATCGAGCTCCACGAACACAGCCCCCCCCCCTTTCCCGTTTCTTGGCACGGTGACTGATTTGAAATGTTCAGCGAGGGGCGCGCAGCGTGTCTGAATATTCGTTTGCCGCGGCTGCAGATTATTCGAACGAATCATAACGAGCGCAGAGGATTTATTATTGATCGGTTATCGAATCGGTATATTAATCGACACGTTGCGCGGGCATTTTGGACTGGAAATCTCAAATGCGTCACAGTGCGGAGGGGAGACGCGAGACTGCGTCTTGGAAATTTTGCTTCGCGAAATTCCTCGCGCTTCGCGTAGAATCGAAATACGCGCGACGACACGACTTGAGAGATATTCGAGCGTCGGCGCGCGTCGTAAGCGCGCGAGATTACTTCCGCCGTGACTTCCGAGTGTCATGCTGCACGCAGTCGTCGTAGTCGGAGTCTGTCTGGCTAGAAACCTAGTCGCGACCGAAAAAGCCGGAGAGAGAGAGAGAGAGAGACAGAGAGAGAGAGAGAGAGAGAGAGAGAGAGAGAGAGAGAGAGAGAGAGGGGGGGGGAGGGAGGAGAGAGAGAGGGGAGAGAGAGAGAGAGAGAGAGAGAGAGAGAGAGAGAGAGAGAGAGAGAGAGAGAGAGAGAGAGAGAGAGAGAGAGAGAGAGAGAGCGTCTCGTCTAAGGGGCACGGGCGCCATTACGGCAAGAAAATCATAAGCATTCCAGTCACGGGTCAATTCCCTGGCGCGCGCGCGGCCGTTTTTCCCGAGCGCCGCTATTTTTAACTGTAACGTTTCTTGCAGATCACGTGGATCGATGGACTGGGCAACGTGCTTCAGCGTGGCATCAAAACCACGAAGGAGATATACGAGAGTGGCCCGCTCTACACGGTGAAGTCCGTCCTCAGGGTAATGCCACGGAAGGAACACGACAACACGACCTTCACGTGCCAAAGCCAGAACGCGGCGGATCGCACGCCGGAGAACGCCAAACTTCGCGTCGAGGTGCGTACGAGTTGCGCGCGAATCAAGAGCCCTCCTTCTCTTTCGCCCTTCTCGAGAGTCTCGAGGTAGAGTTGCGCGAGCGCGCCGAGGATTGCGGGACGTGCAATTTCAAACGAAGTCTCCGCGACTTCGCCCGCGACTTACTTCAAGATTAGCGCAACGATTCGACTGTAATCGAAAATAAAACTTTTTAATAAGACTTTCTGCCGCTCTCCCGCGCGAGAGACAAGCTGCTCCGCGGGGAAAAGGAGAAGTAAATCGCGGGAATCGCGGACGCTAGCGTAGCGTCGAGCCGAGTTTGGCGACTTATTCCTCGCAGGAACCGGCCTGTGTATCATAGTACGCGATATCCTCCTCGGCTCCGTCGATGGCGATTACGGTACGCGTATCGTAAAGAACGAGGTTACAGGATGCGCGCGCGCGCACACACACACCCTTCGTGCCACACGACGGCGATTGGGACCGGTCTTGCCGGCGAGGAAAATCAAAGGAGGCGAAATAAAGCGAAGTGAAATGTGCGAGAGGGCAGGGGAAGGAGATAGAAATCTCGCTTAAAGGGAAATAAAATCACTGCCTTTTGCGCGCTCTTTTTACTTCCCTGACCGGAGACAGAAATTAACGCGAGTCGCGAAAGCGGCCAGGAGGGTAACGAGGGTAACGAGGCGACGTATAATAATTAACGTCGTGTCTTGAGAAGCGGTTAGCGCGGTAATCGCCATCCGCTGGCGCAACTTTCGTGCCGCGAGCGCGAGTACTTTGGCGCTCCGGGTACTTCCGCCCTCTTTTCTTCAGACGTAGACTCCATTATCCGGAGTGGCAAAGGGAACAAATAGTTTCGTGGAAAGGGCAACGAAGCGGGAGCCGAGATTTTTGCCGGGAACATTCGGATTTGCGACGACGGCGCGCGATATTATGAACGCGCCGCGCTGCGCCGTGTCGCCCCGTCTGCAGAAAATTCTTACGAGTTATTACTTAACTCTTTTTACACCGCGCCGGATATATTACGCTTTTCACGACTTCTACATAAGTTCAGCGTTAATATCGTCCTAATTGGAAGCAATTCTTACGCAAGCGTGATCGAGAGTTTTGAGAAGTCATATTTTCGCGCGCGACCGTCGATAAAATAATGTTGAATTCGGGATACACAGAGCAGCGGAGCGTTCTCCAATGTTCACGTTCCCTCCCGCACGTTTCCCGCGACGAGCGACTGCTCGGAAGAGCGTGGCGGGAAGGAAGGAAATTACATTCGCGATGCCAAACAATCGGTCATTAAAATAAAATCGCCTTTCTTTTGATCCGCGGCGCGGATTCTTTAAAGTAATTCGACGGAGCTTCGCCCGGAGCGAATTTAATCAAATGCCGTCTTATGGCGCAATGTTCCAATAACGTTTTAATTCAATATCAGTATCCCGATGTAAAGATTAAATACCTCCGTAATTAATCTTTAAATTAAATTTCCGTTAGAGTAAACCGGAGTTACTGCGAGAGGAATAAAGTTTTGTTATCAATTACAATCCCAGGCGCTGCACTACCGAGATACTCCACGTCGTTATCGCACAAAAGCGCGCTGGCACTTTGACATTTATAAAAAGACTCGCTCCTCCGGAGCCGCGAGCCGATCGAATAATCCGCGAATTAAAAGTCCCACGGCGAATCCGGCCGGGCCCGGCGCGCCAACAAATGGAGCACTAACGATCTTAAAATAACAGAGACCACATCCTGAGCGAGTGGACGCGGGAAAACCGAATTAATGGATCGAATTTTAAAAGGACACGGTAAATAAGCTTCTCGCTATATCGCGAAATATCTCCGATTTCCCTTGTGAAATATATAACGAACGCTTCTCGAAAATTTCAAACGCGAGGTAATGGATATGCAGCATCATTATTCCGGACGTACCACATTCCGGATGAGAGCATGACGGTAATATCGAATGAACCGTATTCGATTCTCGTGTGATAAAGCATAGAGGCAGAGAGAGAGAGAGAGAGAGAGAGAGAAAGAGAGGGAGAGGCGGAGAGGAAGAGGAGCGGAAGAGTGAGAAGAGAAAGAGGAGAAGGAGAAGGAGGAGGAGGGGGTGGAGGAGAAGCAGCAGCAAAAGACCGAGAGCTCGATTTACGCGATACTTTTCAGGTACGCTACGCGCCGAAGGTGTCCCTCTCGAAGATCGATCGCATCGTCGAAGGCTCCGAGCTTAGGTTCCGATGTTGCGCCGAGGCCAATCCAGCCAATGTGGAGTACAGGTGAGTGGACGCGAAGAACAAAAAGTATTCGGTGCTTCAATAATATCCGGGCCTGCGAGCGCGTGGATGTCTTGGCATAATAAATGGTAGAACCCACCCACAGGTCTCTCTCTCTCGAAGGCAGCACCGCGCGCGCCAAGCAGATACAATTGCGAAACTAATTGTTATCGTTTCGGAAGGAGGGGAAGGAGGAAATGGTGAATTTTACGGGCCAGTTTTTCGGCGGTGCAGCCCGCCGAGCTGTGGCTGAAATTGAGGTTGCCCGCCTTGCGCATTAAGCTCGATATAATTGGGCTTGGGTTTCAAAGTGATAATGACTGCTCCCTTTACGCGCTTGCAATTACTGTAACAAATGAAATACCAATGGGAGGCCTCATACGCGAGTCCGGAGCGTTTTAATCGAACTTTCCTCGACGTTGCGTCGACGCGCCGGGCGCGCAGCAGCCAATGGCCAATGGCGTTTGCGAGTCCCGATTTTCGAAATACGCGAAAGCACACTTCGCTCACTTCGGCGGAGTGGCTTCGAAGTCTCGACGAAGCGCGATGTAATTTGACTGCACGGTGATCCGGATCGCGTTAGTCTTCCCTTGCTCTTAAGTGATCTGTCAACTCTGGATCTTAAGCTGCTTAAAGTTTTCAGAATATCGATACTTCCCTTCTCCCTCTCTCTTCGATCCCTCGGTATCGTACGGTATCGCTACAGGTGAGTGACGCCGTCGTCGGCGCAGCGCATGAGAGCGCGTAAGCAACGTGAGTTCACGTTGTACGTACACCGGCTGCGAGCGACAAAGAGAAGGCGGATGATCGATATCCGCCTACAAAGAGGACAATGTCAAATTCAGGACGGTGTTGCGCGCGCACGTGTTAGCGGGGCGCGTTTGCGGGTTTCACCTAGCGGCCCGCTTTGATTGCTTTTAAATTATTCGTTACGCAACGTGCCCGTCGGGAAAAAAAGGAGCAGCGGCGGCGGCGGCGGCGGCGGCGGGGCCAGCGAGGAGGCCGACCGCCCGATGACGCGACGTATTAATTTACGAGATTATCGGATCGTCGCTCGGCTTAAATCGGCTCGCGAAAATGTCACCTCCCGAGGAAATATGTATCGCGCGTCCGGGAAGAGCCGAGCGTCCATCCGGGAAACGAGGCTTTTTTTTCCGAGGGACGTTTTTCCAAACGTCCGACGCGCGTTCTATAACGCGCGTGCGCACGTATGTACGCGACATCGTCCTAGCAGCGCGATACGTTACGCGCGTTACGTTGCGCGAGATTTGGCAGACGCTAATTTGTGAGTGCGCGACGCACGGAGCGGAGTGTCTCGCAGCGGCGATCTCCGCTGCAGCGAGACAGTCTCTCGTCGTGAGTCGAACTTTGTACGATCCGAAAGTTTCTGATCCGGCCGCGGTTTCGCGCACGTGGCCGCACTGAGAATCTCTCATTTGCCGCATTTTTCGAATACCGTGCCGCGGATCCGAACGAACGAACGAAGGGACGGACGAGGGTCGCACACGCTCGTGCGCGAACGCAAAAGTTTGCAAATTTGTCGAAATCTTCTTTTTTCCTTCGACTCTTCGCGCCCGTCTTCGTCCGAACGCGCGACGTGTGCTAAAGCTCGTCGAAAGAGAGCGGAAAAAAGACGAAGAGAGAGAGAGAGAGAGAGAGAGAGAGAGAGAGAGAGAGAGAGAGAGCTTGTCATCGGCTTATGGCGATTCGCGGATAATAGGATAGACGGCGAAACGGAGGGTGAAGCAACGGGGACCACATTGTAGCGCGATAACGAATGTTAGTTGCCAGTCGCTTTAGCAGCTTTTATAGCCTTCACAGCTTTTACAGCTTTTACACCGGTCGTCGCGTGCCGCCCGTAAAAGAGATTCGAACGGAGGTAAAAACTGAGGTAGCATCGACCGCCCGACGTGACTCCCATTTCGCTCTCGCCCGTTGAGTAACAAAGACAGAATCATTATCCGATACATATCAGAATATTAGTTTTTAGATGATGTCGTTACGCCGGCGGAGAACAATTTCCAAAGGGTCGCCCGGATCGTCGCGAGACGCGAGATAAGCCCGGCCCGTCGAGTTAATTAATTTCGGACGCTAATATTAATTCCGCCACCTTACCATAACCGAAAGTACCCCCGGCAAAATTACATGCAAAGGTTGCAGAAAGCGGAACGTACCACGCGTAAAGTACCCCGCCATCGTCGCTAAAACGTAGCGTAACTTGCGCTGAACTTTTCGCCGCTCCGCTCAGATATTACGTACAAATATTTTATGTCCGCGATATCGCGCGGACGCGTGTGCCCGCAAGGAGCCCACAATTGATTCCCACGCGCTGTAAAAGGAATCTCGCGATCGGTACGCACGCCGAAGAGAACGAAGAAAATGAGAGAGAGAGGGAGAGAGAGAGAGAGAGAGAGAGAGAGAGAGAGAGAGAGAGAGAGAGCAGAGAGAGAGAGAGAGCGAGAGAGAGAGAGAGAGAGCGAGAAAGTCGCTCTCAAAATATCCCGTTAGGTGCGAAGTGTCCTGCGAGACACGCGAGAGGGTTGGTCTTTACCGGGAGATACGAGATGACCCCGAGGCACTTTCAATGTTTATCGAGTCGTTATAGCACTCTGTAGTCGCGCGAATGTAGGTAGCGTCGCGCGAGCGGACCAGCACACTTTCCCCGGCATCTTTGCGAGCTAAATTGTCTGTCGGACGGCCCCGATAAAATCGATCGCGACGCGCAGGAGGCGAAAGGCGAAAGGGGATGGCGCGACGGCGATGCACCGGCAGCGGCGGCGGCGGCGGCGGCGACGGCCGCGGTCTCTCTCTCCTAGAGACACACGAGCTCGGTAAGTCGTCGTCCCAGTTCGATTCGGCTCCTCTCTCCTTGCCGTTGATTGTACGCGAAGGCCGTTTCGCCCCCTCCGCCGTGAAAAGCGCAGTCTGCCCTCGGCCGTTTATTACCATTCGAGACGACGCCGGGGCTCTTTTCGTCGATTGTGCGGCCAAACGATGCTCGAGATAAATCGCTCGAGCCCTTCTCGAGGACGCTCCGGGGGCTGGCGCAAGGCAAAGCTACTTCGCGCGCTAAGAAAACGTCACAAGCGCGCGCGCGCGCGCGCGTGTATACAGGACGCTCGGGGAATCGACCTCGCGAAATTTGCAAGCGGGTTTTCATTTCTCCGTCGCGACGCGCTTGACTTGACTTTTCTCGTTGGCGGCGACGTCGAGCGACATCGCCGGCTTTTGGATTATAAATGACTGCGAATGGAAAGCAGGCTAGAGAGAGAGAGAGAGAGAGAGAGAGAGAGAGAGAGAGAGAGAGAGCCCGGTGGGTGGAAGCAAATAAGAAAAAACGCTCGCGTGTGTTTTTCGTCTCGGGCATTCTCCCTCTCCCCTTGATTGGATACAGACGAGACTCGGTTGTTGAGATAGATGACGTTGCAGGGGAATTATTAACAAAAACGTCGCGGCGACGGAATCAAGTCGCCCAAGGATAAGCCTGTGAATCTTGCAACGCCTATTTCAGAGCAACCTGTACACGCAGCGAGAATCCTAGACGGAAGGATCTCGCGCGCGCGCGCCCATTCGCACCGGGATGCAGGGATAATCATTTGACTGTATCGCGCGACTATTAAAAGCCGTATTGATCCGAAGGGAGCGAGGATAGCGGAAGGCGACGCGAGAGTATCGAAAGCGACAGAGGCGGAGAGATACGCGAGTTGTGAAAAATACCTGATAATCTGCGGATTTTCGGCCGTCGATGTCGGAGCCCGCACGCTGCGGGCTTATTACAGCCGCGGATTATTACACGGCGGCAATTTTTTTTTCGATAATACACCCCGTACTGTGTGCGTCTGTGTAGTTAGGATACGTTCGCACCGAAGTATTGCATATATTATAACAATTGATCAGCCGTTGCTTCGCGGGATATTCCCGCAGCCTTACGACGAGCAAATTTATGTCGTACGTGAAGTAATTTCCCAGCGCTACTTTTAAATATTTTTGGATAATACGAGTATACTCTATACCGGACCATAGTGCCTAGGATAACGCAGTCGGTGCTGATTAAAGATTACAAAACACTTTCTCTCGACGAATTTTGCAACGCAATCCGAATCGAATGGGACAACGGATCGCCTGGGAATCGCTGAGAAACAAATTCTCTCTCGTTGGATGCGAGATGCGATATACGAAAGTCGTCGAAAAAAGCTTCGCAGCCCTCAACCAGCCGATACACTCTCCCCCGTCTGCGATTCTAATTTTCTCCTTCTCTTTCTTTCTCTTCTCCACAGTTGGTACATCAACAAGAAAAAGGTGATCGGCGACTACACCACGGAGATGATTATCCACAACGCGACCCGCGAGCTGCACGACGCAACCGTCAAGTGCGAAGTTCACAACGACGTCGGTAAAAGCGAGGAGAGCCAGACCTTGGACATAAGATGTGAGTGGCCCGCGCGGGCTTAATTCCCCATACGAAATAATAAGATTGCAGGGCATACACGCGCACACATGCGCATACAGGTCGCGCAGGATGCGGACTCGCGTCTCGATTCGGCGAGGCGACAGCATCCCGCGCGATTGTCACGCGCGAGACTTCAATCTCATCCACTTATTCCGCCGGTTCTCCTAAGAGCCTCCATTCTAATCTCGCGAACGTCCCCGGGAATAATTTCGCTTCGCCCCGAAAGTATTTCCTTGCTGTGCCGCGCGCACAGTTCCCTCTTCCTGCCCGACACACATATACCGGATTAAAGATACGATCGCTTGAGAAGGTGTAAGATACAGCGCGCGCGCGGCGCCAAAGCTTCGCATGCATGCCGCGCGAGCCGGGACCCGCAGGAGAAAATTTCGTTTTACCGAAAGGCACTTACAAGCGCGGCGTATCAAAGTCGCTCGGGCGCGATCGCGCTCTCGCGCGGAGGGGGGGGGGAGGCCGCGGGGAGTGTCGGGGGTGAGAGCGACGTATATATAAAATAGAACGCATGGCCGCGTCGCGCGCTCTCGCTCTTTCTCTCGAAATAAGTCGTGCTAAAATAGACGGCGGGAAGTAACATTTTTCCGAGTTCATTTCGCGGAACTGACCCGGGTTAAAATTGAATTTCTCAGACGGCCCGCAGTTTCGGCACCCGCCGGTCTCCGTGGAAACGCATTACGGCGCCACGGAAATCTTGCAGTGCGACGTCGACGGGAATCCGACCCCGGAGATCCTATGGTTCCACGAGGACTCGGAGCGAACGGTTGCCACCAGCCCGAATATAAGCGTCTTTGTGAGCCCGGACACCGCCGGACGTTACTACTGCAAGGCCCGCGTGCCCGGTTTTCCCGAATTGACCGGCTACGCTAACATCTATATTCGCGCCCCGCCGAGCATAGTGTCGCAAAGGATTCAGTACGTGCCCGACGAAGGAGTGGTCAAGGTACGGTATATATCTATCTTCGGCCCGGTGTCCTTCGACCGGTTAAATATTATCGATGGCGGTGGACGCGCGAACGCGCGCGCGCGCGCGCGCGCGCACGCGCGTTCTATCGAGCGTAAAGAGACGGCTCGCGTAATTTTCTTGAGTGCCGCCGCCGCCGTGTATCGTGAATTATTGCACGGAACCGCTGGAAAGGTCTTTTAAGGGGGCAGTTATCAGGAGGCACTCAGTATAATTTACTCTGGATAATTCAGCTTTATCCGCGATGAAAACACGCTTGAAGATTTCGCGAGGCGGCGGCGGCGACGGCGGCGTCGACGGGGAAATTACTATAGGCTGCATCGCGCAAAGCCGCATATACGCGGCGAACCGTCGCGAGGCGAGGAGGAAAATCCGCGTCAATCCGGGAGAGGCACGAGCTTTCCACGTGACGTGTATAATCGAAAGGCCGATACCGATGAATGAAATTGGATACAAATAGGTCCGCGACAAATTTGTCTTCGATAAATATCTGATCGCGATTGTCGCGTAACGACGTACGACGAGAATGCGCTTTCCGCAGCGCGCCGCGCCGGTCTGGATCCATAAACGCGCTCGTGTTAAACCGATTTCAATTCCCGCCGCTCGCCGGGAAGCTCGAAGCTCGTCGAGACTGTTCGCGGACGGTACATCGCGCGGCGCGCGAGCCTTTCTGCTTTATTTCGATATGAGGACAGAGCTCGCTTCTCTCTAAAGCTCGTTCAAGCGTTTCGGTAACATCCTATGTACGCGTTTCTCGCTGACACACGGCTCGCGACGATCGTCGCGTGATGCCGCGTCGTCAAAACCCGTTCCCGCATTTTTCTCGCTCTCTCCTACCTCCCTCTTTCTTCTTCGCGCTCATTCTCTCTCTCTCTCTCTCTCTCTCTCTCTCTTTTTCCCTCGTCCTCTCCCCCTCTCTTTTTCTCTTTCTCCCTTCCCTCACCGATGCTTGAAACACTTTCAGAAGAGACAAGCGCAGGTCGACCGGATTGACGAGTACGAGAGACGAGGGGTGGGGAGGGGGGTACGGGGGGGGAGCGAGAGCGGGATCGGGATGAGCGAAAGGCACGATGCATGACTATCGCTCAACCGCGACTCTTCATCTCTGTTTTTTACCCTTCCTTTTTCTATCTTCCTCTCCGCCCTCCCCCCTCTTTTTTTTATTTCACCGCCATTTCGCCCGATTTGTGCCCAGGTTAAGTGCACCGCGATATCTGTGCCAAAAGCGGAGTCGGTGGTGTGGAGCTTCGCCGGTCGCGAGCTCAATTTCACGTCGAACAATACGCCGTTCTACGTGCAAGAGGAATACACGGCCGAGAGGGTAGTCAGCACTGTCACCCTCCTGGATCCCATATCGACGTACTTCGGAGATTACAACTGCACGGTCACGAACAGCTTCGGCACGGATTCCGTCATAATCAAGCTGACAGCACACAGTAAGTTTATGTACCGCTCGTAAACTACTATACTATCCTTCTTAGGACAGCGCGCCTTATCCGCTGCTCTCGAAGGACCCCGCGAGCTCGTTTTGTACAGGACGTTCGGTAATAAATAGTCACCTAGCGAACTAGAGGACGATATATCTCTCGCCGCGAGAGTCAAAGTGACTTGTCCCCGTTATCAGCAGTTTCAATGACCGTTTCAATCGATGCCCCGAAATTAGACGCGTATAATCGCGAAGAGACGAGAGATCCAAATTCATTCTACGAATAATCTCTATTATTCTCGGCTAATCAAAGAATCGAGCTACATCGATCGGCTATACTATAGTATTATTTCAGCAGCAGCTTTCTCAATCAATGCCACTTTGCTTCGTCCGCTTGGAAATTAGGTTATATACGTCCTCTACCGGTTTCCCCCGGATTATAGGAATAAATCGTAGCATTCGTCGCTGAGAGAGAGAGAGAGAGAGAGAGAGAGAGAGAGAGAGAGAGAGAGAGAGAGAGAGAGGTGTCGCCACATGCTTGACATATCCGTGCTCTAATTACCGAACACACATATCTCGCAGCATCCCGACACGCGCATATCTACTATGCGCGCTCGACGTCGAGATTCCGCCGCGCTGCGTTCCTCCGCAGCGACATTACGCGAGATTTCAGCTTTAAACTTGACAAATTACTCACCCACTGTCATCGATGCGCCGAATAAGTGACGATCGCAGCACCGCGGCTAACCGTTAATCGTCACGGCGCTTCCTCGCGACGCCCCCTTGCCGCATGCTCCGCATGCGGAACGCGCGGCGTCGTCAGGTCCGCGAATCGCGCACATCCACAAGTCAACTCCGAGACGCGGTGATTGCGGCCGGGCCGTGCGCGCGCGCGCGCGCGCGACGCTCGCCCGGGCTCGGCAAAAGGGACGAAGTGGGAAATCGACGCGGATCGCGCGAGCCGCCCGCCATGTCGCCACGCTAACTGAAGCGCTGCTCGAACGAGCGATTCGAACGAGCGCGGTCACGCGCGAGCCCTCAATTGGCGCGTAGGAAAATCCGCCGATCCGCGGTCGGCCGATTAAACGCGCGGGCCAATTAATACACCGAAACCGTCATCCGATGCGATTTTCGGCGCTCTCGGCGCGTTCCGCACTCAGCCGGACTCGACGTACGAACGGCTGTGAAATCCGCGCGCGGCTCGCGTGTGATACAGAATATATCTTACCTGCGTATCAACAGCTTCGAGGGGGGAGGGGAGGGGAGGGGAGAAGGACTCGCGCGAGCATCGATCGCGAATCACGGTCGCGGGCGCTGATTAATACGCCGAACGATTACCGAGCGAATAACCGAAAAGCCGAACGATTGGCCGTCGTTGAATTCGGCGTTCCTGGCGCTCCTCGCGGAGCGAACAAGCGGCTGCGAAATCCGTCGGAAGCGCGTTGTACAGGTTAGATCTATCTAACTTTCGCTTGGCGACCAGGGTCGAAGGGCTGGTGGCGACGAGGGCGAGCATCGATCGCGAATATCAACGGAGCGCATTAATCGCGGTCGCGGGCGCTAATTAATATTCAGCCGAAACTAACGGCCGTCTCCGTTGAATTCGGCTGACTCCCGGCGCTCGTTCGTACGCGAAGTTCGCCCGGGGCGGCTAAAAAGACGCGGAAACGCGGAATACGGCTCGGATACGCGCCGATGCGCGGCCCCGTACGACGCCGAGCGACACCGAGCGAACACCGCGAGAGGTTCGATCGAGATACTCGATCACGTGATCGATAAGTCAGGCGAGTTGAGGCGATACACGAAAATCCGCTAGCGCCGCCATTAATCGGCTCGTCGAGCAGCGCGAGGAAGTCTTTTCCTTTTCGGGCGAAGATCGCGGCGGCGTGTCTTCCTCTTACAACAGGTTAGTAATGAGAATAATTAACGCGTCTCGCTCGGGCAGGCCGACTCCCGTGCCGTGCGATATTGTTTACATCAATAAAAGTGGAGTACGCGGCAGCGCTCACGTGTATGCTAATCTCGTCGTGAACAATTACGCTATAACGAAAGGCTGAACTATCGGATATTCGTGCCACTCGATATTCGTCTCCGTGGCGAGTCGCGTATAAGCGTGTTAGTGTTTTTCGCGCGCTAAAAACAAAACACCAACACCTATATCGGCCTCCGGCCGTCTCTCTCCTTTCCTCTCTCCCTCCCTCCCCCCTCTAATAATAGCGACGTAATAAATGGAGTGTAAAATATTCCTCGAAAGAGCAATATACATCGATCGCGCGTTCCGTTTCATGCATTTCTAATTCAAGGACACCGCTATCTTTAACGCTTTCCCGATTGGTCGACTTTAACAATTTAGAATTCCCTACGAAGGACGTCACGGAGACGCGCGATCGTAATTCGCGATCGTGCTACTTTTGCCCGACGCCCGGCGGTCGTTCGGCAAAGAAAGAAAAAGGGTTACGACTGCGAGATGTCACATTAGAAGCGGAAAAGTCTTAATTTTACGAGAACAACCGTCTCTCGTGCGACTGCATACGGCAATATTAACGATTATGAGAAGTCGTGTTTGCCCGCGGAACAGACAAAACGGTTAAGTCGACGAGAACGTATGTACGTAACGCGCACACACAACACACACACACACACATACATACACGTGCAGAACGTTGGAGTCTCGCTGCGTTTTATGGTATTACTTTTTAAGACCACTCGCTCGGACAGGAGCGAAATTATTGTTTCTTTTTATGATTCGACATTTTTCGACATTTTTCACATTCACGTAGAGAACCATCCCAAGTTTACGCGGTTCGCCCACTTTATCGTTGAGAAGTAAAACGGCAAAAGCGGGGGGGGGGAGGGATTCTTGTACTTACGTTGGTACATAATATTTCGAGAAAATCCGTATAAAGAGTTTATTATAACATCACGGCATCGTGATATGGCACAAATTTGCATTCCCTCACTATATACGCTTTATACGGTATTTGCGAAAACGGATATTGGTTCTTCCGACCCAGATATAGCGGCTGTTTAAAAATCGATTCGGCTCTCCCCGAGTACATCTGAAATAAGTGAAGTAGTTTACGGATGATTAGGGGGGCGAAACGTTACCAGAGTATCTTTATCCGTGTATATTCGAGGTAATACCGGTGGGATATACGTAAATATATCGCATATATATGCTTATGCTAAGCCCAAAGTGAGAGAGATACGACTATTTAAATAGTTCGGACAATCCCGATACAGTCGATAGCGGCTCGCATACATGATCCAAGTACAAAATACATTTATTATCGCTCATAATATTGCCGCAATATTTGCAACGTTCCATTTTTTCTCATCGAAAACCGCGCTCAACCGCGGTCCTGCTGAGATTCATCACGTCCGGCTATACGAACGATTGACGACGCTTTTCATGACGCGACGTCCGCGCAATCGCAAATAGATTTTCCGTGCGGGAAACCAAACAAGACGCTTTTTCTCTTCTTCTCTGTTTTTCTTTTTCTTTTTTTTTTTTCTTTTCGTAACAAAGTAATAATTTAAATCCTCTCGCAGCGGAGCTTCTGCGCGCTTTACAGTGCCCCGGGAGATCACAATTTGCAGAAGTAATGCAGCCGTGGCGGAACTCTTTGTCGTTCCTCGCACTTCTAAAAGATCAGAGAGATTCTAGATCAGCTCATTTGCACAGCTGGCTCTCCGGTTAATGATTTGCAAACTACTTTAATCGCCACCGCGATCAAATAATCGCCCTCGATAAATGTCTCGCTGTTAATAACTCCAACGTGCGTTACATCAAACATTACGGCCGGTCCGGACGTTTAATTACAGTCGCTTCACATTATTTAATTCCGGAGAGCGGAGCGATTTATCGTGCCGAATATAAAAGTACGCGTTCTTTTTCCCGTTGGATTTACATCGGCTCGTCTTCGTTAAAGAATTGAAACATGTCGACTCGTCAAGGAGAGGAGGTGGGGGGTCATCGAAATGTGTTTTTTTTTTCCGTATCGCGTCGGCTGATGATTCTACGTAACGTCGCACGTAGCGTCCGCTTGAAAAATGCTCGAATGAACAGGAAATAAGATATCACATGATAATTGAATAAATATTAAAAATAAATATTACATTTATATGTGTGTGCATGTGTGTGTGTGTGTGTGTGTGTGTGTGTGTGTGTGTATGTGTGTGTGTGTGTGTGTGTGTGTGTGTGTGTGTGTGTGTGTGTGTGTGTGTGTGTGTGTGTGTGTGTGTGTGTGTGTGTGTGTGTGTGTGTGTGTGTTTGCGCGCGAGAGAACGTCGCAATGAGAGCGGCGTTTGCATCCGTTGCGGATAATTTTTAATCGAGCAACAATAAATATAAAATGCGCGACTCTCTCTCTCTCTCTCTCTCTCGCGCGCGCGCTTGCTGTGAATCTCCGCCGATTGTTTTTTCGCACTCGTAGCACTTCTGAAGCGGTCGTTAGCGAGTAAGCAGCGCGCGTTGCTCTTCATTTGGCAAACGAGATTTTAACTAGGCGTGACGCTTAGCGTTGATTCCAGTCGATTGGCAGCTGATTTTGATCATCGTTGGACTGGTTGTCTGCGTGGTCCTAATTGGCGTAATAGTCATACTCATTCTGCAATGTCGCGATCGCATTAAGCAGCCACGGCCGCGGACGGCGCAGGCTCAGGAGACCGATATGCGTAAGTAATCAACTTCGATGATTCTAACGTAAATGACGCGCGAATGCTTTGTCAGAGCGCAGAGTTAATTCCAATTAAAATCCCCGTCGCATCGCTCGCTATTTCGCACGATCGTCGTGCTGCATTGACCACCACATGTATTACGCGTTACATTAAATGCGGTACATCGACATCTCTGGACACGTTGGAGCGCTATACGAGCGTATATATACACACAACAACGGAGAAAAAGGTTTGGTTGACAGGAAATGCACGGAATTTCCAATTCTTATTCGGCTGTGAGGACATAAATTTCTCTCAGTCACAAGATGCCTTTGGTTTTCTCTCACTCGTTGTCACATTAATTCAAGCCAACTCTTTTTTTCCGTGCGACGAGCGCATCGATCTCAACTCTTTTCTTCTTGCCCACGTAGAGGAAACCGACTCCAACGCTGATCGATATAGAGAAAGCGATAGGAGCAGCAACCTCTCGGATGTCAAAGCGGACATTCGAGCGGGATCCAGTGTCAGCAATGCAGAAAGTGTCACAGCCCTTGACAGTGAAGGTGAAGGAAGTACCAGAGGAGTGAACGCCTTGGCTCTCGCAGGACCGGTGCCGAATCCGCTGGGTTATCGTTACAGCGCCGACTACACCGAGCCTTCGTTCCCGCCGAAAAATAACGTGAGTGCTTCGCCACCCGCCGGCCTTGTGTGTTCTAGGACACGTTTACTCGATGTTTTCGATGTGATCGGATGTGTTCTTCCATTGAGAGCTTCATATGTTAATACTTTGACGGCCGCGCTTATCGCGGCAAATTTGTCGCTTGCCTCGCCAGCAGACTTCAAACTTTCGCTCTTAAACGATATCTAAGGAGACAAACATCTGTCTCGTGCAAACACGCAAGTCTATCGTTGTCGTATGAAACGAGAAAGGTTACAAAAACGAACGTATTATATTTTACACGTTTTCAAAAAGCACACGGCCCAGCGAAATGGTTGGCTCTTTGATGGCCGTATTTATTCCGGACAAATTTTCGACTGCTGCCAATAGATATTTAACTTGCATCCGGGCGATACACATATATATATATATATATTTATTTATATTGTGCTATATTTATAACGCAGTCGAATAAAGTCGCGAAAGCGAAAATATTCTTTGAAAATGCGTAAAGTATAATACATCTGTTTTTGTACTCTTTTGTTTCTCGTGGAAATACGAAAAGGTGCAAAGTATATAGTCACAAGTCTCAGATACAACAAAATTATTAAAATTAAATATAATATAATATAATATATAATTATTAAAATTATAGCTTCATAAAGCTATAACATTGCAATTGCAAAGCATTGTTATCGAGAAACATCTCTTTACGAGGCTATAACCGCCGGCGCGACAGAATCGCGTACGCGATAGCGGCCCATCAAAGTGTTAAGAGCGAACGCATCAGACGTAGATCCGAAAGTAGATCGCCGATTAGAACGTTCGTCGCGTTTATTTGCGCTTCATCCGTTTGCATTGTTTAGTTGCTGAAGGTAAGACTGTGACATGTGTTTCTGTAGGATGGTAGTAACAACAATGGTTACGTGCCATACGTTGACTATACACGCGATTATATGCCACCAACGACACAGGGCATAGGCGCCTCGCGGGAGTCCTTGAGCAGGATACCGTCGGGCGGTATATTGGCGTCGAAAAAAATCGGCCTCAGCTCGGCCAATCTGGGCACTTCGACCCCGCAAACAACGCCGGTGATCGATCCGCGATTTTCCGCAACGTACGGCAATCCCTACCTCAGGTAAGCTGATATAAGCACAATATCCTTCTGTTGCGATCGCATCGCCCCCGGGCACAACCGATGAAATAAAAAAAAAGAAGCGACCTACCCTGCGACTAAAAACCTGATAAAATCCGATCAATATTAGACATTCCTACTGCGATCCTCAGGCGAGTGTAATATCGCGAAATTTGCCAGGGACCTCCCGCTTTTCATCTTCGACCGTGCATAACTCGGCGGATAATTTGTCGCGCTTTCGCTAAACGGGTCGACTTTGGCAACATGACTTCTAATCGGAAGGGAAGCGCGATAGCTCTTTCTCCCCCCTCTCTCCCTCTCTCTCTCTCTCTCTCTCTCTCTCTCTCTCTCTCTCTCTCTCTCTCTCTCTCTCTCTCTCTCTCTCTCTCACATGTTAGTGTAATAGCGCGTGAATGTAAGCCGAGGGAGGTAACTCCGTCATCGAAGTTCCAAAATTTCTCGTGGTGTCAACATAGTCGCGCTCTGAGAGCGGGAGAAAGAGAAAGAGAGGGAGAAGGGGAGAGCATGTCGGGTGAAGCTCACGTCAGACAGCGCGAGTGCCACGGACTAATTATAATTGGCCCGTGTCATTGATCGGCCGCGGATACCTTAGGCGATGTCACGTTCCGTTTACGTATACTACGAGCGGCCGACGCTTGTCATCCTCGCGCGCGCGCGCTCGAGAATCTCGCGCCGTACGTGCCGAGAATGCGTCGTCTCGAACGACTAAATTAGATATGAGTGGTGCGCGCGGTTTCTCCTCCCCATCGCCGGGGGAGCAGCCGGGGGAAGGGGGGGGGGTGACGCGCTCAGCTCCATCGGAAATACTACGGAGGCGCGACGATTAAAAAACCAAGCCGACGGGATAACGGAAGAGGAAGAGGAGGAAAAAATGGAGAAGAGAGAGAAGCCTCCGTCGGAGAAACAGAGTGCGAATTCAATTCGTCCTGGAAATTCGCGCGCGAATTCCGCCCCGTAACCGCAAATATATCGAGGATTCGCGACTGGTTTCTCTCTCTCTCTCTCTCTCTCTCTCTCTCTCTCTCTCTCTCTCTCCTCTCTCCTCTCTCTCTCTCTCTCTCTCTCTCTCTCTCTCTCTCTCTCTCTCTCTCTCTCTCTCTCTCTCTCTCTCTCTCTCTCTCTCTCCTCTCTCCCTCTCTCTCTCTCTCTCTCTCTCTCTCTCTCTCTCCTCTCTCTTCTCTCTCTCCTCTCTCTCTCTCTCTCTCTCTCTCTCTCTCTCTCTCTCTCTCTTCCCCACTCCCCGAAAGCACTCTGTGCGCGCAGAGTGGCGTTCGAAATTCTCATCCCGTTAAATTCGGAAGAGCCTCGCTTTCGAAAATGTTTATACAACAACGACGGTGCGCAGGACGATCGCGCATAAAGATCGGGAGGTCCTCGCTATTACGTTTAGACACCGCTGTCCGCCGCGTACGTGCCTCCAGCACCTTCTTTTCGTTTATCTTAGCGGGGGATGCAAACAGCGACGATTTCACGTGTTTTGTTTCAATTCGGACGAGCGAGAACGTTTCTCCGATGTCGAGATAGCTCGACGGTCGACGAATCGAGACGACCCGCGACGACTCTTCTAGAATTCGGTTCCGATCGAAGAAGCAGGGCCGGGGGGGGGGGGGGCGAGCTCATTGCGGCTTCGCTTCGGCTGCGCGGTTATAATACAGTTATAGAACAAATCCGCAGAAAGAGAGGTGGAATCTGCGAGAGATTCGGAAGAGACCGGACGATTATTGCGGTACTTTGTCCGACGCCGTTTCCGGCCCCGAAGCGGGAGAAGATGTAGAAATCCGTGCGCGGAGAGAGAAACCTCTCACCGCCCGTATCGAAGCCGGAACTTCGGGAACTACATTGAAATAAATTCGGATTCAGTTTTCGGGCTCTCTTCGCGCGTGTGTCACTTCCCTCCATCGCTCCCTCTCTGCTCGACACCCTCCAGCGAGTCCCTCCGTCGCGCGCAAATGCACCCTCCGCTGAAAGCAGCCTTCTTTAGCATCAGAAGCACCAAAGCGGTGGAAACGAGCGGTTTGTAATTTCTCGTGGAAATTCGTCGGCGGAAATTCCTCATAAAAGTCACTCGAATTCACCGCGTGGCGCGCTTTACGCTGCTAATCGGCGTAGAATAAAAGTACGGAAATAAATCAATACCTTTTCCCCGCCGCGCGCGCTACGTATTTTTTTGTTTTTCTTTTTTTTTTTCAAAAAATCCGTAATTTTCACCGCTCCGGTAGAAATAGATCGTTAATCGTCCGGCGGCTCTAGCGTTAATCCGCTGAACCGTAATTCCTCGCAGCGGTGCGGAGCGTGTTTGCTCTGGGTTCCCAGGTGACAAAGACAAAGATGACATTTGTTGAAGCTTTATCTTCGTTACAAATTATTTCATGAATCATCGGAAGCAAGGCCGACGCGCGCACCGCGATGTTTACCGCGTGAAGTACTCGAGATCCCGCGAATTATGCGCACCTATGCAAATGCGACGAATCCGCGATGAATATCCCGCCGTAGCGGGGCCGACGGGGGGAGGGGAGACTCGAAGGGTGAAAGAACCGAAAGAGCAGCCGGGGCTCGGGACGAAAAATCAGCGCAGGCACACACGTCTCGCCTCGAAAACGATATCCCCGCCTTCGCTCCGAAAATGACCGCCCAGTCGTTCCCCAGGAAGACGCGGCACGCGTCGACAGGCGGTTATTAATCGCGGACCACGCTCGGGTGTATCCGGACCGGAACGACGTCGTTGCGTCCGACGTAACGACGAAGGCGTTAATGACCACACCGTCTGTTGTGCGCGGCCGCCGAGGGGCCAGGTCGAGGGGCTCCGGCGCGCAGTTTGCGCCGCTGTTTGCGTCCCCGTGTATCTCCCATTTAAATTCCGACGCGAGGGAAAAATCCGATTTACCGTCTAACTCCCGGCATTTCTTTGCAAACGAATAGAATGTCAGCGGCCGAACAGCTCCGACACGCGCCGCACACAGCCGTGCCGGGAGTCACGCCAGCACCGCCGCCCTACACGCAGGCAATGAGAATGAATAGCTTGAATACCTTGAACGGCGCGGGCCCGCAGGTTGGTACAATGGTGAATGTATGTCAAATTCCTAAACGTAGTTACACCGCCGCCGCCGCCGCTGCCGTTGCCGCCGCCGCCGCCACCGCCACCGCCGCCGCCGCCGCTGCTGGAGTTGCGGGAGCTTCGTGCAAGTTGGAGTAGGTCGGTCCGGGGAGGAAAGAGGACGGACTGTCAATATTGCAAAGCCATTGCAAGTGCTGCACGCGCTCGCCATACGTTTATTTGCAACGCTAATCCTTTTCTGTACAGTCATATTCCAATTTCGCAGTCGCACGTGCGCCGTTGCAAATTGTTTCCGCCTGTTTCCCGGCTTTCCACGCGTGCTCCTTCGCGCGTAAGGCGCGCCCACGCGCGCCGCGCCGCGACAAAAGGAATTTGACATTTAATAATCGGCCGAGCCGCGCTCGCTCGGTTTTCATCGGGCGGCTCGGATTAATTCCGCGGAGAGGTCCGACGCGGTACGTACGTAAAGAACGCTGCTTTTTATCAGTCGCCCGATACGCGTGTTGCATCGCCGGGGTTTCGGGCGAGATCAAGATGTAGAAATAATAGCGGATCGACGTGCGCTCCTTTAGTCATTTCGAATCGCCCGATCCGAAGCGTTTCGATCGGGCGGCCTGATTACGCGCGATTACAGTCGGCGCGCGGAGTCGCGAGCGGAGGAGCGCGGAGAAAGAAATGAATAATGCGAGGCGTACGCGCGCGCCGTGGCGGCGGAACGGCGGCATTTAAGCCGGCAATAATGAGTCATACATTTCGGCAAGGCGGTGACGCTTAATTATTTCGGCAGCGACGGCGAATTTTCAATTTCTCGCCGCCTAACCGCGAAAAAGTGCCGTAATAACGCGGTTGAAATTTATATCACGCACTTTCGCAGATCCGTTTATTTCCGCAAAATGAAAAAATAAAGGAGAGAGCGAACACACTCATACACGCGCATATACGTGGCTCGGCACAGCGCTCTTTTTTCGCGCTCGTGCATTAGCCGCGCGCTTGACGTTCTCTCGCATTATATAATTCAATCTTTCGTTGTTGTTTAAAGTATAACTTAATGGATATAGATGGAAACATTAGCCGGGGATGTCTATTTTATATTTCAATGGAGTTGTTACAACTAAATGTACGCGGAAACGTTCACGGCACCGCGCGACTTTCGCAAACGCACGAATGTACATGAAACAATGGCGCGCTCAAGATTTCTCAGGAGAGAAGCGACATAAAAGCACCACGCACGAGCGCTCCCCATTATACTATTATTATTATCTCTTATAATTAATATCATTCTGGTAGGGAATGAAAGTTTGTGTAGAACCTGCAACTGATCCTTCCGTGTGAGCAATTTTCGCCGTTCAAACACACCGTCAAGTGCCTCGCTTTCTTCGCTATCGTGTTGATTTCAAATCTTTTGACATTGAAAAAAAGAGAAATATTTAATAACGCCGTTATATGCACGAAAAGAATGCCTCGTAAGCTCCACGGGAACAAAAGACAGCGTTTAAATATAGACAAATATTTAAATATTGGAGATACCTACAAGTGCGTGTAATCGAGTATTTCAAAATTAAACACATTTAAAAATCTACGAAGCTTTTATTTTTTAATCAGTGATTTAATAAACTCAATATTTTGTAGCTAAGATAATAATTGCTTATATTATACGGCTCAAGTGAAAATCGATAAGATTAAGAGTATTGTAAATACAAAGTTAACGTCAAAGGTGCTTGTCGTTTCTCTAAATTAAATTCTCGTAGAAATCTCGAGTATTAAAAAAAAAATATAGTAAGACCTCGTTAGATCTGATATCCTGAAAGATACTACAAGAATGAGTGTTGCCAATTTTACTCGTAAAATAATAATCATCAAGCTTCCAAAATCGCGAATTGTTACATCTTCGTTCTCTGCTCGCTTTTATTTTATTTGATAGTTCCCTTTTCTCTACGTTTCTATTTTGTACATATTTTATTTATATCCAATATTTCATTATCTATGGGTACTGATATATGGGTATACTAGATATATCGATGTATGGGACTATATGCGTATACATGTGTATGAAGAGAGAAAGAGAGAGAGAGAGAGAGAGAGAGAGAAACATATACCTCTCTCTCTCTCTCTCTCTCTCTCTCTCTCTCTCTCTCCCTCTGAACGCAAACACGTGTGTAGATACGTAGCGCGAGCAGCGGCGCAGGGTGAAATCATCGAGAGCGAAACAATGCGAGCCCAACAAAATATCGCGCTTCCCTCACTTTTTCAGGCACCCCTGTCGGCGCACTACATCACCGGCGGGCCGAACGGCGCCATGGCGACGGTGAAGCGCACGTCGGCGGTGGGCACGTTAGCGACGCACGTATGAGGCCAGGGGATCTATCCGAATTAGAGCCGTCGATACTCGGGCCTAACTGAAAGCACCTTCGAGCTTGGCCATGCCCTCGAGACGCCCCGCAGTGATACGCGCGCGTGGCCGACGAGCAGCGCGTCGGGATGGGCGACGCGTCGCGACGCGCGCCTCGCGGCCGAAGCCTCGCAGCGAGCTCGAGATCGTTACGAGAGCCAACACGCTCTCGAGGCGGCGCGTTACGCCGGAGCGGGCGAGGAGAGCGAGCGGCTGCTGCAGGCGAGGCCGCGGCACAGAGGTCACGGCGGGGTCACGGATCGAGCACAACGAATGGCCGAGAACGGCGAGGCGCTCAGGTACATCGAGCTGGTGCTGCGGCAGCTGCGAACGGCCAGCAGGGATCATCGGCGGCTTGTGCGCCAGCGTCACGCGGATTTCCGCTGTGACCTCGGCGAGGAATCGCGCTACGAGGAGTCCTTGAGCCAAGAGCGAGCCTGGGAGCAGCAACGGGACCGACGGCGCAGCAGCCCGGCCATGATGTCGTCCCGTTCGTCGAGCGACCCGTGGCAGTCGAGCTCGAGGGAGGTCGCGGACCGATCGTCAGGCGAGCGTCCGCGGCCGGACGTCACCACGAGGCTGTTGACAAAGAGACGGGATTACGGCGGAACGGCGCAGAGCACGGCCGGGATTGTCGGAGGAGCGGCAGCGCCCGGGCGCGCCTTCGTCCAAGATGGGATTACCGCGACCACTTACCAAGACTTGAGGTACGTTCCCGAGGACGTGGGCTGGGAGAGCGTTGCGCGAGAGATGTTCGCTGCGTGGAGTCTGCCTGAGACTCCGTCGAGTGACGACCGAAGGACGTCCTCCACTCTCGTTTAGCACGCTGAAACGGAACGGACGGGCGAGGCGCTTTCTGAGAGCCAGCGGGAGAAAGGAGCGACGAGAATCTTCGGAGGGAATCTTCGGCGAAGGAGGTATCGATGTAGAAAGCGGGTCTATGCTCTCGTCACGTCTCGTGTTTACGATATGCTTGCGCTACTTGAAATCAAACTAATGCTCGCCGCTCGGTGCTGACACACATACACACACACACACATACACACACACACACACACACACACACACACAGGTGCTCCGAAGAGCGCCACCGGAGGCGGCTATGTGTGGCTAAGGGCGCCGGTATATCAAAGGGGAAAACGAGAAAAAAAACGGACGTACTCTCCTCTTTTTCGGTCAATAAGATTAGATTTAAGAAGAGCGCCGTGTGTGCGAGACAAGTAGTAGTTGTGCTCGGGGATTCGTGAGTACGAAGGGCGATGGTTGGGTTCGTGGATCGAAGGTACTTTCTTCGGTCGGTGCGAAAACAGACCACTCGGTATCGACAATCTTCTATTGACGTACTTTAGATCTTCTATAAGCGTTTAATAAGACTCGTCCCCCCTGCCGTGCGAAAGCGGCGACAGGGGGACGAAGATCCGTATGAAGCACGTCGCGAATCGTCGCCGTCGCGAACAGTGGTGGTGGTCGCCGATGTGGACACTGCATAATAACGGAGAAAGAAAGCGAGCCAACTGGAGCGCGCGCGCGCGATTACACGGGGCTTTTTTTCGGGGCTGACGCCGCGATAAGGTGCCTCATGGTAGATGCCGCTTCCTTGGTAATCCGTAAGAGACGCGAGAGCTAAAGCTGGCTTTGCGCCTGACATTTACAGCGTGACAGTTCTGTCCGACGCTTCTCCCCTCATCAGCGGACGCGCGCGGAGCGACGAGGAGCGAGAGCCGACTCGCGCGCGCGCGCGCGTTTTATTTATTATTTCCTCCTCTCGCTCGAAAACCGATCGTTACCCGACTCGATCTCAACGTCGATCACGACGACGATACCGTATAACTCAAGTCCCGGCGCAAAACAAAACGAATAAACGCGCTGCGAAATCCACATTTAATAAGGACACAGCGACGAGGAGGAGGAAGAAAGAGAGACGGGGGAGACGCGTTTCGCGAGGCAGTTTCGGAGATAATTTTATATGTATATAACATTTATATAGGTATAAAATTATCTCCGTGGGAGCTCGTGCGCGTGCGAGAGAAAGGGAGGGAGAAAGAAAGAAAGGAAGAGAGAGAGAGAGAGAGAGAGAGAGAGAGAGAGAGAGAGAGAGAGTGAGTGAGATGGGGGACTCCCTCGTCGTCCTCATACCTACGAATCCGCGTCGCCATCTCTGCTCATTAGCGTAGCTCCGCTGTAATACATACGACGTCTAAGAAAAAGATCTTTCAGCGTTCGCTCGGTTATACAGCGCGACCGCGTAATACCATCAAACACAACACGCGCACTCTACGGAATGTCAGACGCAAAGCCTACAACGTACCGTAATGAGAACCGTCTCGGCTGCCACTACGACCTCCGCTGTGTCGCGCGAGCGCTCGCGCGAGCACACGCGCGCGCGCGCGCGCGCGCGCGCACGCTGCCTTTTTGTATTTGTAGGGGAAGAAATAGAGGAAAGAGAAAAGATTAGCCTGTAAGAGAGATCTGTCTGTTGGGCGTGCAAGCATCTGCGCGGACGAGCGCGCTGAAAGGACAAAGACGCCGCACACGCGTCGCCCGCGCGCGCGCGCGCGCGCGGCGCGTTGCAACCTCGCGTTCTCCTCCGGCCTCGAGTTCCACGTGCGACGGACAGGTTGGTAGCGCCAGAGTCCGTGTAACAGGGGGGTTCCGACCGTGTGTTTTGCGGTTGTTTGCATTTGTAAAATAGATAGCGAAAAATCATTAGGTATATATATATATATATAAAATATATAAATATATATATATATAAATATAAATATATATTATACACCTGTTGTCAATATGAGCATAGGGCCTATATATAGTTTGACGGCACTAAGAGAAGCGAATTCTATTGAAATAAGCTCGTTCGCGGGATGGGACGGCTTCCTGTAAATAATGATAAATGATGATGATTATTATTATTATTATGTACGTGTATAAGCGTGTAACGATACACGGAACGGCGCGACGTCCTTTCGACGTGTTCGCGGTTTCGTCGCGCATTTTTCCTCCTCTGCTCCTCTTCGGGATATAACGAAACAAGAAAAAGAGAAAAGGAGAAAGCAAAAGGCGCGCGACTAAATCAGCGCGCGCGCAATGTCACTTATAACGCGTTAAGTTGTTGTTCTTGTTTTCCTCGTATCTGTCCTTTTTTGCCTCGACGCGCCGCAGCTCGTTCCCGAGGATTGGTGGTGCGCACGGAGGAAGACGTGACTACGGCCATTCGAACTCGCCGGGGTTTTGAACTCAGTTTTGAAATCTTTTTTTAAGCTTGCTGCCGCGCACGTGCGCGTGCGATATATAACTGCGCGGGATATAAATAAGAAATGATCCGGCAATTCTAAAAGCGTATAACACGTCAAAAGGTATCTCGACTATTATCTCGGAAAAAGGAGTCAGTCCAGAATTCTGTCGGCTGAATCCACAACGAAACCGAAGTGAATATCGTATGACAAACGTCGAATTATCGCTGGCTAAACTCGAGATATCAAGACACGTACAACGATAATCTGGAATAATCGTGTTGGATGAGTCGCAGTTTAAGAAATCACCGCGCTGCGACAAATTTCCAAGAAACACAGAGTGTCTGTTTCTTTTTGCTCCTCCGAGTCCTCCGCTCGTCCTCCTCGGGGACGATTCGCGGCGCGGTCGATCCTCGATTTGCGTAGTGCGACCGAGAGAGAAAAACGTATCCCCTCTGGAAATGCGTCGCGGGAGCGTAGGGGATACCATTCATATATGATAACGAAACAGGGTAGCCTATCAATTATTAAGACAATTTCAAAACGAAGGCTGCACATTA